GCAATCATGCTGGCCACATGACCTAGGAGGTGTCTATGGACAATGCAGGCTCTTCAGCTTAGAAAAGGAGATGAGCACCACTCCTCAGAGCCAGAAGGTGAAGTCTTTACCTTTATCTCTGTTTCATTGTTTCTAGGCATTGAATGTTTGCCTTTGTGTTTGTTTATGCTGGAATCTGCCCTGAGTCCCCTCCAGGAGATAGGACAGAATACAAATAAATAAATAAATAAATAAATAAATAAATAAATAAATTATTATTATTATTATTATTTGAAACACAACAAGATGAGTCCACAGCAGACACTCTGCTGGCTGTTGTATCGGACACTTCCCAAGTGTCTAGGATTGTGTGATATATCTGCGAATAATGCGTGCAGATCCCAGTAAGATGGCCTTCTGCAGCTGGCTGATGGTAATTTTGTCAGCGCCGATTGTGTTTAAGTGCAGGCCAAGGTCTTTAGGCACTGCACCCAGCGTGCCAATCACCCCTGGGACCACTCTTACTGGCTTGTGCCAGTCTTGCAGTTCGATTTTTAAATCCTCATATCATGTCAGCTTTTCCAGTTGTTTCTCTGCAATCCTGCTGTCACCTGGGATTGCGACATCGACGATCCATACTTTGTTTTTTAACATGATTGTGAGGTCAGGAGTATTATGCTTCAAAACTCTGTCTGTCTGAGTCCAGAAGTCCCAGAGGAGTTTGGCGTGTTCATTCTCTGTAACTTTTTTCGGCTTGTGATCCCACCAGCTCCTTGTTGCAGGCCGGTGGTATTTGTGGCACAAGTTCCAATGAATCATGTGAGCAACAGCGTTATGTCTCTGCTTGTAATATGCCTGCGGGATCTTCTTGCAGCAGCTGAAGATGTGATCTTTTGTTTCATCTGCTTCCTTGCAGAATCTACATTTGGGATCTGTTGTCGACTTTTCAATTCAATTCTATAATTCAATACATCATTGAAGTAGTTAAGTCCCCCGCCAACGTCAAGACGGCACCCGATGGGGGTATTATTATTGTTGTTATTATTATTATTATTATTATTATTATTATTATTATTATTATTAATAATAATGATGATTGCAGGCCATAACTGTAGCTTAAACTGATATTATAAAGCTACTTTTACTTACAATCCAAACAGGTGAAAAAAATATTCATTGTTAGGTTAAGGAGACTTGTTGAATATTTTGTTCATCTGTACTTCACATTTAACCCACGATATGAGTAGAATAATTCCTATGCATGAAATGGAATTCACACCCACAAGCCGTCATCATCACGGAGGCAGGAGTTGGAAAAAAAGTTGTCTCTTAATATTCTCCCACGTTGCTCCATCCATTTCTATAGCTTTTTCCCCCTCCAACTATTCTTTTAAAAAATCAACAACTTCCATTCTTGAAAATCCCTTGAGAGTTTATATAATTGGCAAAACTGACAGCAAGCATTAGACTTCAAGCTGAAAGAAAGCATGTGAACTAAGAGAGTCTCAAAGATTTAAACGACACTGGGAAGCTGTGAAAAGGAATGTATAATTCTGGAGACCATTTGGACAAGAAATGCCTTCTGAACAGAATGTTCAACCAGGATTTAAATGTTTAAAACAAGGACTGGTGAAACCTTGCAGAACATGAAACATCTCCCACCTTTTAAAAAATTATGTTCACATTTTTCAGAAGACAATTTTCGCAAAGAAAACTCAAAATTTTGCCTTTCTGCATAAACAGATATTTATTTACAAGGCATAGTGTAGGGTTCATGAGATTTTTTTGTTAAAATTCTTGGATATTTCCTTCGCCAAAACAAATGTCTTAAGTTTCCATTACTTTTCTTTTCTTAATGCCAAAACAGTATAACGGTCACACTAAGGAGCACACATTATATTCTTATGTATGCAGAAGCAATTGGGATGACAGAAAGGAGTCACGGAAATCTCATGCAATTATGAGAAATCACCATGGGTTTTGAAGTGAATGGAAGCATTTTAGGAAGATGTGCCTTTCTCCGATTGCACTGGGAGTTTTATCTGCTGCGGCGAGAGGAATATAAATCATGTATTATTATTATTATTATATTATTATTATTATTACTATTATTAGATACATAACAAGATTAGTACACAGCAAACAAGATAACTATGCTGGCTTTTGTATTTGATCATTCGTCAGATACTTCCCAAGTATCTAGGACTATATGATGTATTGGCAAATAATGCGTGCAGATCCAAGTAGGGTGGCCTTTTGCAACTGACAGATAGTAATTTTGTCAGTGCTGATTGTTTTTAAGTGCAGGCCAAGGTCTTTAGGCACTGCACCCAGTATGCCAATCACCACTGGAACCACCTTTACTTGCTTGTGCCAATGTCTTTGAATCCTCATATCGTGTAAACTTTTCCGGGGGATTGTGGCATCATCATGTTGCATAATTGCTGATCCTACACTACAGATACCCTGTGAATCACTGGGTTAAATGATGCTGCTGTTAGATGCATTTGTGGTTGGTTGAAATGCACTCGGGGTATACTCATCTTCATCTGTTTCCTCACCATCCTTGAGAGAAGTGACAAAGTGGGATGCCACAGGATTTCATCCTGGGCATTATACGGTTCAACAAGTTTATAAATGATTTGAATGAAAGACTGTAGAGAACAGTCATCTGATTTGCAAGTTGGGAAGGGCTCATAAGCCAGAGGTCCAAAACAGGTTTTGAAGTTGCTTTAATATGTTTAGGAACTGATCCAAAACTGACAAATAGAACAGAGATAAATGCAAATTTCTACATCTATGAAGGAAAAAAAATGCATAAATGTAGCATGGGTGACACCTGGGTTAGAACTAAAAAAAAGATCTAGAGATCTTGGTAGTAGTTACTGTGTGCCTTCAAATAATTTCTGGCTTATGTGACCTTATCATGGGGTTTTCTTTGCAAGACTTGTTCATATAGGGCTGTTTTTGCTTTCTTTTGAAGCTAAGAGACTGTACTGGAGGTCATCCAGTAGGTTTCCATAGCTGAGTGAGTGTCTGAAGCCTGGTCTCCAGAGTCATAGTCCAACACTCAAAGAACCAAAGTCCTGGTAGACCATAATGTAAATATATCACTAATATGATGCACAGCAAGAACCACACAAATGCAACAGTAATAACTGCCAGTGCAATTCCAGATTGCTTCAACAGAAATATAATGCATCAATCAAATGAAGTAATGGCACTACTTGGTTCTGCCCTGGACATAGCTCGCAGGCAGTTTTATGTCCCATTTTGACCAAAGCCAGCTAATGGTAATGTGTGCAGAGAAGGAACTCTTTCTTTCTGACAGAATATTAGAAAGAACCTCCTGATTATAATAGTTGACAGTGGAATTGCCTGCTTTTAAAAAAGATATTAAAACAGAGGTTGATGGTCATCTGTCAGAGATGATTTAGCCGTAGATTTCTATATGTAATTTTAGATTAAAAGATCCTCAGGGTCACTTCCAACTCAGCAATGCTATTAAATACTATAGTCTTCTCTTATTGGAAAGAAGGTCCAATGGCTTAAACTTACCAATTATTATTCTCTACACTCTTTTTAGTTCTACACTAACCTTTCTGAAAAATGGTATATTTTTAACTGTTTAAAGTTTGTATTCAAGTGTTTGATGTTCATGAGTTGACATTTAAGTTGTTGGTCTTATTTTAATTATTGTGATTTGCCTTTTTGATTTATTTTGTGATTGTTACTGTATAAGTTGTTTTTTATGTTGTGAGTCGTCCCGAGTCTCTTTGAGGAGAGGGGGTGAAATATAGTTTGTTTGTTTATTTATTTAAATCTGTTCAGAACTATATGCATAACATTCAAAATTGTCATCATAGGCCAAATGGATATAGATACTTTGATGCAGTACTATCAATTTTATTTTCAACCGTTTGCCAATTTTATTTTCAATTCTTAATATGGATTTTCTTCTTTGATTTTTATTGAAGTAGTAGAGTCAATGTGTCAGGTTTGACTTGGTTACTTCAGATAGTCTCTCCGCACATATGCATGATTTGCCATTTTGCATTTATTTCATATTGAGTAACTTTTTAGTTTTGCTGTGAATTCTTGACTTGTGAAGAGAACCTTTTGGAACTCCTCATAGTCTACTTGGGAGTTTCATCTTCCTGCATAATTTTGTGCCATCTATGTATTTAGCTGTTAGCTATTCCCCCTTGATTCCAGTTGGATTTGCTGATAAATTAAATATCCCTAGTTCTCTAGACCAGTGGTTCCCAACCTTTTTTTGACCAGGGACCGCTTGACCAGGGATCACTTGACCAGAGACCACTCTCCAACATTAATACCAAAAGGGTTATGAATCAGTTTCTGGTCAACTTTAGATTTGGTTTGGTTATTTGGGGTGCCGATTCAGAAAATTGCATTGGATAGACCACATCAGCTCTAGTTTCTGATACAGAACATATGCCATCTAGCAGTCGCCATCTGCTTGCCCACAGAAAAACATTTAATAATCTAGAGGATGGACCTTATTTTAGGTCTTGTGGCCCACCAGTGAGCTGCGGTTCACAAGTTGGGAACCACTGCTCTAGAATGTGAGTAGGAGGAAAACTGTCCGGTTGTTCCATCTTCTTAAACCAGTTGCTGATATGCAAGAAGAACTGTTGTCTTCATTATACTCTTGTTAAGAGGCACTTTCACAACAATGTGTTTTATTGCTTTTGTTCGCAATGTTTTATCCATATGGGTGGAAATGTACTGCAGGTGCTGGTCCCAAATAAGCAGCTGCCATGGAATTAGCACACACAGAACATCAACCATCAATGCAAATTGACAAGTTAACAATTTTTTTAGAAAGATGTATCTCCAGTCTTTTGACCCACACAATGGAAAACGCAAACCAGCTTTCAAAATTTTAGTAACATTGTAGTGATTTTTATAGCTATTGATTACTTATTGACTGTGAGTGGTGGGATTTATTTAAATGACAATATGGAGACTACTGAACAACAAAGATGAGGCCAGATACACACAATACAAACAGTGTACATTTATTGAAATAATACAGTAAAAAAAAGGTCTCGCAGACCTGGTTAGTGGTAATTGATCCAGTCAAAGAGAGAGATCCCATTCAAAATTAATTTGCAAATGTACTAAGAATAGAAAAGACCCCTTCTTAGGCTAGGATAGTGAAATAAGGTTATCTTCGGTTCAAATGTAAATATAAAAAATTGGCAAATAAATAAAAGATAAAATGTAGATCTGTTAAAATTACACATGACAGACAACTAAGTAAGTATACATAAGCTATCATTCTGACTCTTGTTAAAAGCTAGGAAAGCCACTCAAAGCCTGCTTTCCTCCCTTTGTTAAGCACCTGCACTTTTTGGGAAGATGCCATCCTTTCCAGTGTTATGTATTACCAATGTGTTTCACAAATATATTATATTTAAACAACAAAGAGCATAAAAGGTGCTTTACCTGATATTAAACCTGCTGGTGCGTATATTGGCACTAACTAAAAAAAAAGGGGAAAGGGAAAAAGAACCAACCATCTACACCAGAATACATGTAAGTAGAAAACTGTAAACTATTGCAGTGTCCCTATGCCAAATGTGTAACATTCTTAAACTGTGGTTTGTCACACAAGCCCCAGTGACAGTTTCCAATTTTGTACAACCAGCACACAAAGACAAGAAAGGAAAATGTAATTGGAAAAGCACCTCGTTTGTGGCTGTCAAATCAGCCATTCTTTCTATGGGAAAAGTGATTCTTGTCCAATCACATGACCATGTAATTACTTGATAATCAAAAAGAGCAACTACTCATTTTAAAGCATTTGAGTGAGCCATCGATCTTTGTGGAGAAAGTTAGAAGGTCTGACCAGATAGCATTTGATGGCATTGAATTATATTGTAAAAATGTTCCTTGGATTCAGTCCTTCTGGAACTGAAGAGCTATTAAGACTAAGACAGCATCAGCCTAACAGACAGAATTAAACCCCCAGTAAGGATAGAAAAATATAGACTTTTAAGGAAGGTTTACTATACATGCCTGTTTTAGTTTTATCAGTCTACATATCTAGAACTCCACAGTTTTCCTTTAGTTTGTGTTGCTGTGAGTTTTCTGGGATGTATGGCCATGTTCCAGAAGCATTCTCTCCAGACGTTCACCCACATCTATGGCAGACATCCTCAGAGGTTGTGAAGTCTGTTAGAAACTAGGCAAGTGAGGTTTATATATCTGTGGAATGTCCAGGATGGGAGAGAGAAAGGCCATTAAATGCTAATCAACGTGGCCAATTGCAACATTGACACACACCTCAAACAGACAAGAGTTCTTCCTCCCACCCTGGACATTCCAGAGATATATGAACCTCACTTGTCTAGTTTCCAACAGACCAAACAACCACTGAGGATGCCTGCCATAGATGTGGGTGAACGTCTGGAGAGAATGCTTCTGGAACATGGCCATACAGCTCGGAAAACACACAGCAACCCAGCGATTCTGGATATGAAAGCCTTCGACAACACATTTTCCTTTAGTTTTTTTTTAGAAAGCCTTCAGAAAAATGCAATTTCCTGTACCATTCCTTGATGCATTGGAAAACAACTAATCTGATGTTTGTATTGGCTGCTCTTGTATTTCTCTCTTTGAAGAAGAATCTTTCCTCTGTAAACTAATAACATGGCAGTGACCTCCTTTTGTTGGTTTAGAAAGTGTTCTTTCCTCATGCAGTGCACTACTTTGTTAACGGCACCGCTAGAGGGTTTTTCTACCTCCTTTTGATGTACATGATCTCCTAGTACTGTGATATGTTGTGTTTTAAAATCAGAGCTAAAATTACATTACTGATGTAAACCTGCTAGTAATTATAAGCGGGTTTTCTTCCACTCCATTTTGGATTGCTCTGCTTTTCATGTGACTTAGTTGCCTTGTACAATCGATCCACTCTTAGGTAAAATAGTACTTTATGCAGCTATAGAGTGTGGAAAAGATACGCCTCACAACAATATGACATGAGGTAATGCTGATTGTGGGATTCTAGGAATTACAGGCTAAAATATAGCATTTCCGAGCTCTGAGCAATATGTAACAAGAAACTACACTTTATTTCACTCAGTGGTGTAATTTCGCAGTGATTTATGATTTTAAACTTTAACAATAATTGCTATTGACAATCAAGTTAATAATATCTGAAGCTCAAGGTTCTTTCAAAACAAAGTTGTTGGAGGAGCTTCCTGTCAATTTCATTCACCCTTTTGTGGGTTCATCTATTTTTCTCTCAATTTTTCCAACTTAAAATCCTATAGATATCCAAGTCTCTTACTGGCAGATCTTAAGGTTCCTTTACAGAACCCCTCCCCCACCTTTAGTTACTCAATTCCTATGTACAAGGGAATCTTCATGAGCTGAAAACATGGATGGGCAGATGCATTATCTTGCCCGCAGTTTGTGCCATTTCCTCCTATGATTCAAGGCCAAAATCAATGTATTATACCTCTGCTTTTAACAACCATATATATACACATATCTTTGTTTCCACATTTTTTGTGTGAAATCTAACCCAGCACCTAAGGATCCATAAAATTAATGCTACTGCCTCTTGTGCTTATTAAAACAGCAGCTTCCCATATGATGAATGATAACCCCTCTTTAAGACATCTCAACTTCTATCATTTTCTCTTTCTGTTTATAATTATTGGCAGGCTATAAAGGGAAGGAGATGTGTAACTTTTAATTCTGTGTACTCTGCCATTCACATTTTTCAGTGATTCAGAATCTAATTTTCTAACATCTGAGGGAGGAATGAGCAATATCTGGGCAATAGTTCAATCAGGCTCTGCTTTTGGTTTCAAGAAAGCAGTATTCTGGTGGACCTGCAGGACAATGGCTAAGCTTGGGAAAGAAAATTCCAAACTCTCAGAACTATTATGCAATAACGCTAGAAGATGACAAGCTTTAAAGAGGAAAAAACAACAATGGAAGGTTTGTTCTGGTTCGAATATCTCGAATATATCATCAACAAACCAGATGATGATGATGATATGCCATAAAGTCTTCTGCCAGTTTAATCTAATCTAATTAACAGATAAATCAGCACAAAGGAGCTTCCATTTTGATCATCAGTTAATTCATTCTATTTCTTTCTTTGCTGTTTTTAGTAATAAAGCTGATTTTATTATTCAGAGCATTGGATTGCCTGTAGGAAAACCACAAAAAGTTGATTTTGTCATCTAAATTAAGAAAACAACTAAGAGCCATGTCTTACAGTAATGTGGCACTGGCCATATTAATTAGCTTAAAAAACAATAATATCACCAGCTTCTAATATGAACTGGAACTGTGGCACGAGGTGAAGAGTTTCAAGAAGCCATTTTCCTTTTGACCTGAACATGTCTTATTCATGACAAAATCCTTTGCAGCAAATGGAAGTTTTAAGGATAGTTCTTGGTGAAAAATTAACCCTCTCCCATGAGTCCAAATTCACATGGGGTTCTGTCTGATTTCCTTGAAAGAAACATGCCTAGATACAAAGACAGTTTATGAGATATAAACTTTTGCTCTAATATTGCAACCTTGTATTCCCCCCCCCCTCAAAAAAAACCCATGCACCCTCTCCCCAAAATAACCATCTTATTTGTTTGGGGGGGGGGGGGAAGAAAACCACTGCTAATTGTATCTCTAATGAATGTCTGAAACGATCTCCAAATTTCAATCCAACTAAAAGGGATGGAATGGAAAGCTATTTCTAATAATTTGAGAGAATTTTAACCAGCAGCGCAGATATATATAACAACAGCTAAAACTGTGGGTATTACTGCTTTTGTTCTGTACTGAATTTGCCTACATTGTGCTATTAAGGTCACTAGCATACATAGTAACAGCTGATAAAACGAAATATTACAATAAGCAGTGCAGTAAAACAAGTGGAGTATTTTCTTACAATTGTGTTCCCAACAAATAGACTGGTGACTTATTTCATAACCATTTGTTATTTATCGAACTGTTCTAATACTTTAATTCCATATTTTTTTAATAAAAAGATGTGGTATTTGGGAAATACCTATATTTACCCAAGTATAATGTGCCATCAATTGTAATGCACACCTCCCTTAGGCTGAGTCTGGAAAACTCACTTCCCAACTAAGACCTCATTCACGAGACCAAACAAATACATGTAATGTTTTACAAATATTTGCAAAATAGAAAGTTACTAAATTTCTATGCATCAGTAGATGATTATTCTTTCCAGGAATGACATTTTCACATAGGTTTGCCAGACTGCAGACTGGAAAATAAGAGGCTTCAGATTTGCAAAATGGCATTTTTGACTGGAATTTTAATTTTAAACTTTATTTTAAAAACTCATAATTCTTGAAAATGAGAAGTTACACCAATGGACACTGAGTTCAAACTGCCTTTTATCTAGTGTGTGTGTGTGTGTGTGTGTGTGTGTGTGTGTGTGTGTACAATGAGGCACACTGACAATATCAGCAATTCCGAAGCCCACTGAGATTTACACTGATGCACGAAGACAAATGCAATCTCAATTTAACATTGCGTGTTCCTGCAAACTAGGGTGAGAAATTATGAACTTTTTCTAACAGGAGAACTATATAGATCTTTAAAAAGCCCAATTTTCAAATAATGTAATGTTTTGACTTTTCATCATCCATATCTTTATCTAACAGATAGGATTGAACTTCGTAACACACATAGCTGGAAGTGTTTTTTTATGATAAAAGCAGTACTTTACGAAGTTTCATGTTAGGAAGACAGTGTAAAATAAAATACTTGTTAACTGCCAACACACTAAACATGCTGCATGTGAGCAAACCAACTGTGACAATGTCTCAAACAGTAACTGAAGTTGGACTGATCCTGAATTTTAGGACAGAAGGCGAACAAAACAAACACTAAATGCTACTGGTATTCCATGTTTGGAAAAAGCTTTTTCAATATGATCAGCAGTCTTACATGACTTGCAAATCTGAACTGCTTACATGAATGAAATATAAATAGCAGTTATCCTTTACATCTGTACAAAAAGATCAGGACAGGGTATCCCTTTAATCAAATTAAGAAACAGAATAGTACATTCAAAAGACTTTTAAGAAATGGTATATTCCCTCCTATATAAAAATATTAACCCTTAAAAGAAAAATTAAGAACACTGTGAATAAAAGAAAATACATTCTTGTCATTACATTTATACATTAGTGTATGCATAGATGGAGATCTAGGACTGGGCAAATTGGTGGTGCTTCCCACGTGGTGTGAGCATTTAGTTCTTGAGCTTTTGAACTAAGGAATGCCAATGAATTAAGGCACACTCATTTGGATCCCTTTAGGATCACAGTAAACAAGTAATGTTCTCCATTTGTGATGAACAAATGTTTAAGATCAGCATTAGCCGACTGTGAAATAAAGAAAACTCCAGAGTAAAATATGTAACATTACACTTCCCTTTGCCTCTACACTAGATTCTGACCTACAGCCCATTCTTTGTGCATGAGCACTTGGCCCCCTAGTAACTCCATCTAATCTGGAGAATGCCATCTGATATAATGCTTCACCATTTTATGCCAGTATTAAATTTTATCATCACCGTATTGACATCAACCTCTTTAGACTACAAGTAGTAAACACCTTGCTTGACATCACCACTTTACTACCACAAAACCACACAGCAGAACAAATGTGCTCTGGTCTGGAGGATCAGCTAAACATGTAACATGTAATAACATCAAAGTCTTCACCAAAACCTTGGTGCTACTGTACAAAACAACACTATTTGACTCCTCATTGGGCAGAATTTCATCCCATTGGGCTAGAAGAGATCAGGTTGATAATACATTGTGACAATTTTTCTGTCTCTTATGCACAACCATGAAATCATTTCAACAAAACTGATTAACTACAGATCCAAGAGCTCTGACTGACTAGAACCGTGAAACAATCCAATTGTTGTGTTTTGCCCAGAGGTGGCATATATGTTGACATCCCATAGTAATTCTGTGTATGTGAACTGTCTATTGAATAAAGCTAGGAGAATGTGGTTGCAATTTGAGAAACCGATTCCTATTGAATGTGAAAAATGTGTAGCTTCTGTAGTGTGCGAAGATATTATTTATGGAATATAGCTTTTCCTTGTTATATACACAGAGACGTTGGGACATTTTTGTGCTCCTGAAAACTACTTTCTCCCTTTGGAAACGTGTACAGAATACATCCCCCTCTCTTTTCCTATCTTCAGCAGCATACAGAACAGAAATAACAATTCACAGAGCTTCCAAAGGCCAATCAGGTAATTCACTTCTTCTTTCTTATCCAAAATCAATGCTACTGGTTACCTTCATTATGTGCCACTCTTATTTTCAGACAAGTTTGTTTTGTGATGACAGCATTCCCAAATGTGCACATTCAAAAATAACTGTATACTGCCATAGTTGTTCTTTCTGAAAGACAGATGAATCTGGAGTATTTCCTGACAGCTATTTCACAAGTTAGGTATCAGCTTTGAATTTATTCTTTTCCCTGTCCCTACGTATAAAAGTTAGACCACACATAGATTTGTGCATATCAATTGCTGGAGAATAGTATTTTCTTCTTGATTTAAAAATGGAAATAAACAATGTCTATTATCAGAAGTGTTTACTTTCTTGAACTGTCAGCAAGAAACTAGTGCACACATTCCTCATTCTTAAACGTTTATATTATGTCACTTTTTAAAGAATAAGATTTATTCACATAGTCATGATTATGTTAGATCAGGCCTGCACAACATGGTAGTAGTAAAAGATCCTTATTTTTTTAAAAATGAACTTCTGTGGACTGCTCCTCCCGCCTCTGAACTTAATTTTTATTTGCTGCTACTCCTCACGTGACCACAAATCCACCCAGCCTGTCTCTTTTCCCCCTCCAACCCTTCACAGAGTTTTGTTTACATGTGGAAACCAGGGCACAAATTATTATTGTTGTTATTGTTCTTATTTTGCTGAATGCTTAATCCAACCCTGGATTCAGCTTTGGATTTATCATTTTCCCTGCAGTAAAAAGTTAGAGCACACATAGCTTTGTGCATGTTGATTGCTGGAGAATTGTGCTTCTTTCTCTTGCTTTAAGAGTAGAAATAAATAATGTGTACTATCAGAAGTGTTTACTGTCTTGAAATGTCAGCAAGAAACTAGTGCATGCATTCCCCATTCTAAAGTTATACTTTAAATTGTGTCACTTTTAAAAGAGCAAGAATACATGCGTAGTCAAGATTCTAATAGGTTTCACCCCCAGAGCATTATGTTTTATAATATTTTAAATCAAGATAATTCTTAAAACTTTGCCTTCTGTTTTAAGCTCAATAGGAATGGTACACAAGTTGGCCAAGCTTTTCAGTATGATTGCTGGGAGAACCTGCAATCAGAAGCAGAAAAAACTGGCCCTAAAACATCGTCAAGATTTTATCACAGAAGCAGAAAGCAGTGAGATTTCCTTAGATTTTCTCATATATCAATGACTATATATGGAACCTAAATGAAGCATCACTGTGATTGGAAATAAAGCATTTGGTAAAGCACTCTCTCTTTAACATAGGTATCTTTGACATTTTCCAGCCTGGATACATTTAAACAGGGTTTAGTTTTTTTGTTTTTCTAAAAAAAAAAAAAAATCTTAGAAGAATATTGAAAGAGTTGCAGTAGAAATACAGAGTGTTCATGACATAAAATATTACTTTTCCGAAAAGGAGAAGAGTCCTGCAGTTTGAGTCCTATTACTTTCTCATGATGTCACTTTCTTTTTCAATGTAGAGAGCTCTTTTTGAATCTCGCTGAATTTTGGTCTCATTTCAGGATTGTAATCCCAACACCTTTGCATTATTTTATAGATTTCCTCCGGGCACTTCTGAGGCGCTGACATTCGATAGCCTAGCATATATTTTGAAATGGAGAGAAGACAAAAATTGAAAATATATGTGAAATAGTATTCAGTCCTTAAAAGTACATGCCTGCAGAATATTAAAGTTTTGGATATAAATACATTTAAAGCTCCAAGGTGGAAATGCCAGAATTTCAGTTCTGTCAGTTGTAAATCAAAGTCTCAAATTTGCAACCTGTGTAAAATATTGGCTCCACGAGTCCCTCTTGTTCTTTATTTGTCAGATCAACCAACAAAATGTAGTAATAATCTTTCAAACATGATTTCTGATAGACTTTCACTAGGAAGATCATTCCTTTTAATTTCTGATCTGACTTTATAACATGAAAAGTTATACACATTTTAATGTGTTTTATGGAAAATAGACAGGATTTGTATGAACAAGTATATAAGACCATAGTTTTATGCACATACTCCCAAAAGATATACTCACATGCGCAGAGATGTATGCACTAATTCAAATTCATTTCTAAATCTCAGTAATGTATGAACTTTGATAGCAGATGGCATTCTGGCCTGCCTTTAAGTTTGGAAAACGTGTGTTTTGTAACTTTATACTGAAATGGGAGAATAACACATTTCTTTCCCAATCCTTGTCATAGCTAACATGGTTTAAATGGATTTATTCAAATATGGTTTTTAGAACTACTTCAGCTTATTACATTTGTGTTGTGACTGTCTGCTTTTGTTTTTTGATTTATTTGGTAGTTTTACTGATTTAATTTAAAATCAAAGCAATACAAGGTAAACACATTATGACTGGAGCCTCAATCATACTTTCTTCTATCCCGACATATCTTCCTGGAATTTTTGCCATACCTACTTTGACCATTTTTGATAACATTTCCCTCTCCTTCCCCATTTCATTCTAAATTCCCTAGCTCATTGCAAATTGTTTTCTTTACTCTATAAGCCTACAGCACATTTCTCTTAAAATATATATATTCCTAGGAGGCAAGGGGCCAGGTCAAATTGACTCTAAAGCAGTGGTTCCCAACCTTTTTTTGACCAGGGACCATTTGACCAGGGGCTATGTTGACCAGGGACCACTCTCCACCCTTAGTACCAAAAGGGTTAAAAAACAGTTTTTGGTAAACTTTGGTTATTTGGGGTGTTGATTCAGAAAATTGCATTGGGCAGACCACATCAGCTCTAGTTTCTGATACAGAACATATGCCCCCAGTAATCGCCATCTACTCATCCACAGAAAACCATAATCTGGACAGGGGAGGAGTGGCAGGTGGTGCGAAAGGAGCTGACATAAAATAAAATAAAAATAAAGAGGAAGGAGGCTCACGGACCAGATTTTCGTTCTCGCAGCCCACTGTGGTCCATGACCCACAGGTTAAGAACCACTGCTCTAAAACTATGAAAGATGAGTTTCCAGGATTTGAAATGAATAGGCCATACATCATATAATCTCAGAAACCAAGCCCTTCTTTAAAAATTTACAGGCAAAGTGATGATAGTGGCCATGCAGATATTAAGGAAAAGATGAGCACCATAATGGTAAGTTCTACCTAACAAAAAGCTCAGGTGTTTGGCAGATGCTATGGTGTAATAGTTTAATGGAGACAAGGCTGAACTGATATTTCAGGTCCCTGAAAAAGCATGATCCATTCCAGGCTGATAACATGCACTCTGTCCACCTTTTAAGCAAGAGATCTCAGGTCACTCCTTATGGGTAAACTGGGGATCAGCACCTGCCATGGGTGGTATGTTCTCTTTGCTACTGAAATGCTACACCCCAGCGCTGCCATGACATTCCCTTTGTAAAACTCATCCTGCCCTCTAGGTGGGATGACGGCATTTTTGCTTTGAAACTCTCATGCCTGTTAGGCCTAAGAGTATTTTTTTTTTCAAAATGGGAAATCATCACAAGTAATTTCTAATTTTGAACACAGAAACACCCAGGGAGCCTAAAAGAATTCAGAAGGGAAAAATACAGGAAAAAATGTCTTTATGCCTCCAGTGGCTTCAAAGGAATTATTTTGAGGGATAATTACTTTTGCAAAACATTGATGAGAACATGGGAATCCTTGGAAGCTTTCAAACATATATTTGGGGAATGTGTCTTTGCCATCCATTTGGGTAAACATATTTAATAATATTAGTAATTCCAAGTGATGCTTTCCTTTTTTAAAGACCCATATAGAATTGTGAGTCCCGTGGCATCTTAAGGATCGCAAATGTATCATTGCCATATCCTCTAATGAGACACAGCCCTCTTAATCAGACAGTCTCTACATATTTCCACCTTGTAAAGATACTTTCTTGGAGAGTTGGGGACATCATGCTTCAAATAGAACACTTTTAATTATCAAGCATTAAATAATTCTTTTTTGAAAATACAAATCTAATATCAAAACAAAAGAAAAATACGTGCTACATCATTTCAATAATACTGATTTTCATGCTTATCATCCCATGTTTGGAAATTCTGTACAGCTTGAACATCCCAAAATTCAGATATGTCCCCATGGGTGAGTGAGATAATGACATCTTTGCTCTCTGATGATGCAATGTACACAAGCTTATGTGTCATGCGCAAAATTATAAAATATATTTTGTATATAAATATGTGTATAAGAGGCACATGGCACTTATTTAGACTTGGGTCCCATCTCTAGGATTTCTCATTATGCATGTACAATACAAGTATTCCAAAATCTAAAACAATATAAAATCTCAAAAATTTCTGGTCCTAAGCATTTCACATAAGGGATACTCAAGCTTTATTTCAGGGTTTTTTCTTAGGATGGAAACCTTTGCTGCAGTCTGGTAAATCCCAGACTCACAAATCACACCATAATTACACGTCTTCAAATGTACTAATCACACATAAATAGCCACACAACAGTCACCTTTCTCCACTTGTTCCCTTGCTTGCTGATTAGTCATTCCTGGGTATGGACATACACCTAAACTGAAGGTCTCCCAGAGGAAGATTCCATAACTCCATACATCACTTTCAGAAGTGTATCGACCTATTAATGAAAACAGATGGTGAGGGGATAAGCAATAATGTGTTGGCAAATGAAATCTGACAGTATGTCTTATGCATGTATCACAAAGTTATAGCATATTTACACCAATACTAAATGTTCCCTATGTTTTCCCAGGTGAAGTGTTTACATTAGCCACTCAGCCCTTCAGCTTTGGAACTTTGGAACTCCAAACTAGGTGAAGTGGCAAGCTTTTAAGGCAGCTCTTTATGTATTTGTTAACATGCATTTTGAAAATACTTCATTAACATTACTTATTCTAAGAATAGTCTGTCATATTTACATTTAATAAAGTGACAGTGGAGTAGTGGGTTAAACTGCTGAGCTGCTGAACTTGCTAACCAAAAGGCCGCGGGATCAAATCCAGGGAACAGCATGAGCTACCGCTCTTAGCCCCAGCTTCTGCCAACCTAGAGAGTTTGAATACATGCAAATGTGAATAGATCAATAGGTGCCACTCTGGCAGGAAAGTGACAGCGCTCGATGCAGTCATGTCGGCAACATGACCTAGGAGGCATCTACGGACAACGCCGGCTGTTCGGCTTAGAAATGGAGATGAGCACCAACCCCCAGAGTCGGATACAACTGGACTTAATGTCAGGGGAAAACCTTACCTACCTAACATATTCATTTTATTTTTTTTTAAAAACTACTTTAAATTACTATAAGGGGAAAGCTGCTCCCAATGCTCTCCCATCAGAAAATTAAAATGATTCCAAACCTTCATAATCCAAATTTATGTAAACTGTGATTCAAACATTTCCTACAACCAGTCAACATAAAAGTGAACAGTCTGAAGATGTGTTTCTTAAAGGAAACCTTTATATCAGAAAGGACAGTGTACCAGAAGGCCTGGATCCTGTCAGAGGCAATAAAGCAGCCTCAACATGGAAAACTGCACAACCAGAGGCTTCTATGAGGTTCCCATTTAATATCATGCTACATCATCACTTACTGAGGGTTCCATATAGGATTTTTTAAAAAGAAAGGGGCACCACTCCTTATTGTCATGTCATGCCCTCTCTGGAGACTTCATCTTCCTTAGAAGATTTTCAGAAGCCAAGTCCTCCTTCAGCAGTTCAACCTGATGAACAGCTGAGTCCTCATCCCATTCAGCAAGAAGTGGAGCTGGAAAAGAGATCTCCAAGCCCTCGTGATAGATGACAGCTTAAGCATCTGATGCAAATTCTCAAACATAGTTAGAGGCTATGTGCCCACAGCTGTCAAGTGTCTTTAAAAACAAGCAAGCTTCCCCTGACTGACTAACAAAAGCAATCTGTTCCAATCTTTAATATTTAGCCAGAAAGATTTAGAAGCTGAAGCTCTCTAGATATCCAATAACAAGCAGTCTGATGTTAGGGAACCATAAATCATAAGAAAGTACAAGAGCAGGGTCAGGTTGTAAAGAGGTGAACTGAAAGTTAATTTTCAGTAGGTAGTCAGGGAGAAGCTTGCTTTGAAAGACACTCAGTTCAGCCACTATTTAGAGAGAGTGTCTCTGTAGGCATGTAGGCCTTTGGGCAATTGTGCGTGTGAGTAAAGTGACTGATAGTGGCTGGTTGTGGTTCTGAACCCTCTGCAGATGACAGCTCTGAAATAGTAGAGTACATTTTGTCTAAAATTTCACGTTTTCACTGTTCCCTCTGCTGATGAAGCAAGATACTTTGGATCCTGTAAAAGAGCTTGCCTCTTTGGCAGTGTGATATATTGCAAAACAACAAAATGAAACATGAAAGGTACATTTCAAGACAAGTCAAGTATTAGAACTGCACACTGAAAAACATTATTATTGTTTCTTATTGTGACAGGATTGTTTTAGATGAATATGTCATGACAGTGACAGGAAAATAGATCCCAAAATTGAAATATTACTGCATCCATGGATAAAATTGTCATGCCCTTTGAAAGTATTGAAAGTTCTTGTAAAACACAGATTTGCCACTATGTATTATAAAACAAATGAATATAACCTAGTAACATTCCCCTCATACAGTAATGCTTTTGTTTTTAACTGTGAATTATTTTAGAAAAGAGCTTACAAATAAATTATACTCAAATCCTTGATGTGGTTAAGTCTAAAACATTGTTATTTTTAAAAATCATGAATTGAAGATCATATGATTTTCAACCTCTTCTGCCTCCTAATCTTCATCTGCTAAAGAGAAATGTAAAAAAAAAACCTTGAAGTATAAGCTCCTTTATTTCTATTAGTAAAAATTCCACTTCAAATGTAAAGTTCTTACATGCTAGCCAAATTACACTTTTTTCTATTCAGTATTACAGAGTGGCAGTTCATGTTTCAAACAGAAATACAGTTGCCACTGCTGTCATTTTCAAACAATGGCTTTGTATTAAAAAGTTGAGAATTACACCAGAATGTCATCCAAAGAGATCAGTAGCAAAAGGTAACAAAAGATAGCTGTACATATTATAATAGCTTTTGGTTGCAATCCAATACACACTTACCTGGAAGCAAACCCTATCACACTCAACTGGATTTACTTCTTAGGAAACATTTACAGGATTGAATTGTTAAGAGTATTTACCATAAGAAAGATAATCCTTCCTTTCTCAATGACCTTGACATTTAGAAAGCAGAACATTTCATCTACATTTCTACCAGCTCAGTTATGAGAACATTAGAATCTATGAAGCAGTATGGGTTTTCTTTCTTCATCCGAGTTTTTAAATGTTACACAGACTATACTTCCAGAGGTGCTTTTTGTTGGTCATACTAAATTATCTCTGAAGAGGCAAGTACTTCCAAAATCATAGCATTTAAACTCCGATCTCCAAACCCATAACATCGAGACAGTGAAAAAAACCTTTTTTGATGCAATGATGACCAAGGGATTGTCAACCGTGTCATAAAATCTGATAGTTATTCTTTTATAAGTCACTCTGCTCAGACCAAAACACATGCAAGATGATACCTGTAAATGTTCCTGTAATAACCTGTGATTAAATGCTTCATAGTACATTTTATGTATTTATTCCATTATGTTTTTTTTTTAAAAAAAATTTACAGAGCACTGGCAATCTTTCCGCCATCTGTCTTGCACAGGCTATGGATGCTTCTCTGGAATTCATCAGATTTATTACCAGCTTGATATCTCCTCAGAACAGGATGGTATTGTATTGATTATAGTCTGAAAATGGACTCTGCTGTATGCTCAAAGACAAAGATCAAGCATGCTACTCCTCTGTCAAACACTGTTAGAAACTAGCTACAAAGGTCAATGATTCCTACGGATTCCTATCTTGATTTCCTAAAGTAGTCTTTCACATGAGGGTGCTTACCCTTCAAATCATCACGCAAGACATAGCATCTTTTGTTCTTCCACATCAGAGATACTTTGAGACCAGTCCAGCAGCAGCAGGACTGCAGCATCTGCAGGGTATCTCTGAGAAGCTGAGTATCCAATTAGCCTTTCCAATTAAATATTTTCTATCAGTGAAACAGGGAGATGGGGTCCTTGCTCTCTGTTGTAGCTCATGTGTGCATCCTCAAAATTTCATCTAGAAGTTTGAGGACATTCTGAAAAAGATGAGGATAGGGACCTTTGGACTGGGAGTGGGGAAGAGTGGAACTTTCCATTGCATAAGCTGACAAATATCAACGCTCCACTAGAATTTGCTTATGAGTTTTCACTAGGAACAAATCAATCACATCCCTCCTAAGGTAACACCTTAATGCTGTGCCATGCAGAGTCATGTAAACATTGTTGTGTGGTTTTGTTTGTATAAGCTTGATACCTCAAGTTCACCTGTCCTTGGAAATGTTGACTTGCCCTGTATGTCTCTTTACAAGCTGGAAGACTCCCACAACATTATTGGGGCAGATAGAGCAGTCTTCATGAATTCAGTTATCCAAAACTTTGCAAGGGAGAGCAAAAGGTGTTTTCAAAAGGGACATATCAGGAGTGTGCTCTCCAGATGTTCTTGAACCTATCTAGCATGGCCAACAGCGAGGAATATGAGGAGCTGTTGTCCAAAAACGTTTGAAGAACCAGGCAATTACAACTGGCATGAATGGATTGGATGCAGTTTACACTAAAATAATTAATTAAGCCTTAAAAGTGATTAAAAACATTTCTTTTTTGAAAAAATTATAATCTTCAACATCACTTTTATTTCAGCACTAACATATCCTAGATGAATGCTTCCAACTTCTAAATATTAAGTTGATCGGTGGGTTGTTGTAGGTTTTCTCAGGCTATATGGCCATGTTCCAGAGGCATTCTCTCTTGACGTTTCACCTGCATCTATGTTAAGCATCCTTAGAGGTTGTGAGGTCTGTTGGAATTAGGAAAATTGGGTTTATACAGGGTGAGGCAGCATAACTTCCTTTTTTCAAAACTTAATAAAACCCATTGTATGAATCAGAAATTTATTTATTTTATATAATGTAGGCGCATACTTAAAGTTTTATTTTACGTAGTTCTGAAGATCAAATTAGGTAGGTGACGTCCCGCATTCTCCATTCTCCATACACTGAGTAAACTGATTTCTGGCATTTGTCATGACTCTTGCCAGAATAGCAGGCGTTATGTTGGCAATTTCTTCCTGGATGTTCGTCTTCAAATCTTGTAGGGTCCTTGGACAGTTCACATAAACACGGGATTTCAAAAAACCCCATAGAAAAAAATCACAAGGGGTCAAATATGGAGAGCGGGCCGGCCACTCCAAATCAGCTTGAAAAGTAGGCCTCAACGGCAAAAGCACGTTCCTCACTGTTCCAACACATGATGGCGACTGAACTGTGTCAGGACAAAACTTTATATCCCACCTCTCGAATGAGACTACTAGCGCTCCGCTACGTCTCCAACCAACTGAATGGCACACATTTTAAAAAAGGAAGTTATGCTGCCTGACCCTGTATATCTGTGGAATGACCAGGGTCGGGCAAAGAACTCTTGTCTGTTGGAGCTAAGTGTGCATGTTTCAACTGACCACCTTGATTAGCATTTGATGGCCTGGCAGTGCCTGGGGGAATCTTTTGTTGAGAGGTGATTAGATGTCCCTGATTGTTTCCTCTCTGTTGTTTTGCTGTTGTAATTTTAGAGGTTTTTTTTTAATACTGGTAGCCAGATTTTGTTCATTTTCATGGTTTCCTCCTTTCTGTTGAAATTGTCCACATGCTTGTGGATTTCAATGGCTTCTTTGTGTAGTCTGACATGGTGGTTGTGAGAGTGGTCCAGCATTTCTGTGTTCTCAAATAAAATGCTGTGTCCAGGTCGGTTCATCAGGTGCTCTGCTATGGCTGATTTCTCTGGTTGAAGTAGTCTGCAGTGCCTTTCATGTTCCTTGATTCGTGTTTGGGCGATGCTGCGTTTGGTGGTCCCTATGTAGACTTGTCCACAGCTGCATGGTATACGGTAGACTCCTGCAGAAGTGAGAGGATCCCTCTTGTCCTTTGCTGAACGTAGCATTTGTTGGATTTTCTTGGTGGGTCTGTAGATAGTTTGTATGTTGTGTTTCCTCATCAGCTTCCCTATGCGGTCAGTGGTTCCCTTGATGTATGGCAAGAACACTTTTCCTCTGGGTGGATCTTTGTCTTTACTCTTGTGGCTTGTTCTCGGTCTTGCAGCTCTTCTGATGTCTGAGGTGGAGTATCCAGTGGCCTGTAAAGCCCAGTTTAGGTGGTTCAGTTCGTCTTGGAGGAGGTGCGGTTCGCAGATTCTTTTTGCATGGTCTGCCAAGGCTTTAATGGTGCTTTTTTTTTTTTTTTACTTGGGTGATGGTTGGAGTTTTTATGTAGATATCTATCTGTGTGTGGGGGGTTTCTGTAAACTGTGTGATCCAATTGTTGATCTGGTTTACGGATTACTAGAACATCTAGAAAAGGCAGTTTTCCTTCATTTTCTTTTTCCATGTGAATTGGATGTTTGGGTGGATGCTGTTAAGATAGTACAGGAACCTGTTTAGTTCTTCTTCTCCATGGCTCCAAATGGTGAAAGTATCATCCACATATCTGAACCATATAGTGGGCTATTTTGTTGCTGTTTCCAGGGCTTGTTTTTCACGTGTTCCATGGAGAAATTTGCTATGACTGGGCTGAGAGGGCTCCCCATAGCTATTCCATCTTTCTGTTCATAGAATTCATTGTCCCACTGAAAGTAGCTGGTGGTGAGGCAACGGTGAAACAGAGCTATGATGTCTTTTGGGAACTTCTGGTTGATTAGTGCAATGGTGTCTGCTACCGGGACCATGGTAAATAGAGACATTCCATCGAAGCTGATCGTTTTAAAGACAGGATGTGTTGCTCACTACGAGCTAAAACAAAATGCATCTGAATGATACTGAGGGTAAGGGTTATGCTAACTCCTTTGCCCTCTGAAAGTTATGTTTGTGCTTAAAACTAAATACCATTTCATGCTGCTTTAAATTACGCTACCTGGGATAAAGGTAAAGGTAGTCCCCTGACATTAAGTCCAGTCATGTCTGACTCTGGGGTGTGGTGCTCATCTCCATTTCTAAGCCGAAGAGCCAGCGTTGTCCATAGACACCTCCAAGGTCATGTGGCCCGGAATCGAACCTGCGACCTTTTGATCAACAAGCTCAGCAGCTCAGTGCTTTAACCCACTGCACCACCGGGGGCTCCCTGGGATAGTAGGGAGCAATTATGGGCTGAGCTGCTGGTAGTATGATTACTTTTGCAGGTCTGCCTAGTCTCCTTTCAGACCTTGGCATCTAGTAATTTAAGACCTTTCACTTTCATTAAAAACATTCAGCAATGACAAATAGAAGTAATTCATTTTTAAAGAAAATGTAAGTTATGCATTCAATTATCTTTCTAAGTATAATATCTGGGTACCCCCAAGCATGCCAACAGTAGAAATGTGTGGTAAGTATAAGTGATCTGGATAATTGAATATGTTATGCTATGAGAGTATAGTGAACAAAAACGATTTTCTCAAGAGGTTTAAGCAACTATGAAAAGTAGAGACACTGCAGTTTGGACCAAGGATAGAATATGATTTTAAACATCTCAATAGTAACTCTTTGCAAGTGTGGTACAAGAGCTTATTGTTGTTACAGTAGAGTCTCGCTTATCAAACATAAATGGACTGGTAGAACATTTGATAAGTGAAAATATTAGATAACAAGGAAGGATTAAGAAAAAGTCTATTAAACATCAAATTACATTATGATTTTACAAATTAAGCACCAAAACATCATGTTTTACAACAAATCGACAGAAAATGCATTCAGTATATGGTAACGTTATGTAGTAATTACTGTATTTACAAATTTAGCACCAAAACATCGCAATGTATTGAAACAGATGTGGATCCAGCCAGATTGTGTTGGATAATACAGAACGTTGGATGAGCAAAGGTTGGATAAGCAAGACTCTACTGTAAAAGCTTTCAGGTTGATGACAACCTATAACAACCAAATTATAGGTTTCAGTACACAAGATTTATTTGGCAGAGGTTTGTCTTTGCTTAATTTTTAGGCTGAGACAGTATGCCTGAGGTCAGCTAATTTATTTCCATGCCACACTGAGAATTTGAACCTTGGTCTCCTGGAGTCCTTGTCCAGCAATAAAACCACTAGCTTTCCTATAATATTCTGGTCTTCAGAAAATCTTAAATCTCTGTAGTTTCTAAACAAAGCACCTATCCACGCAGGTCTAGAAACATAGTATGTAACACCAGTCAAATTATTTTGGAGGCAAGGGGGAAAATCCCATAAATGCCTCTTGATTGCTGATGGTAAAAAATACAGTAATAGCAATGCAAATAATTAATTGTTTGCTGCTAATCTACTTGCAAAATCTCAAGTCCATTTCAGAAATCCTCAAGGAAACATTTCAGGGTACTTTAACCTGAAATAAGAAAGGAAGAACCACCAGGATAGAAAAGGAAGGAGCATACCATGCCACATGGCATTCCCTATAAAATGTCTCATTGACACTGGGCAGCATAACCGTCTAACATTTTTAGGAAATTAGAAAAGATACAGCACAAATTTACAAATACTCAGCATAATGGGTTACATCCTAGGTGATGCTGAAATGTAACATAGAGATTTAACTGATGTAGAATTGATTTTCAGAAAAGTAGGTTGTATCTCTCAAAATTAACTTTTAGATCTAAATTTAGAGTAGATATCATTTTCATAAGCATATTGTGCAATATTGCAACGAAGAATGAACTTAGGTTATTCAATTTGCCATCCTTGTATCACTGTATTTCTGAAAACTGACCAACACAGTGGATACATTTGCCAAAAGTTTAATAGATAAATTTTGAAATGTAAATTCCTAGAAAAGAAATGATTTGAAGCTCTAACTGAGTTGTAACTAATGGAGGGCACAAGTGGTATGATTCTAAGAATAACACGACCTTAAAATAAGTCAACATGTGGTAACATCTAATCAGTTCTTTCTTTCTTTCAAAATACTATGTATTCGCCCATTCACAGGACTAAACCCCACATGCTGTTACTTAAGTGGTTTTCCATATATTAGAGCTCCCCATTCCTTCATTCTTATTTAGAACAGTCTTATTCTATTTCTATGACCAACCCATCTTGTTATAGGCAATTTCTCTTCTCCATAAATAGTGTGCCTTTATTTATTTTCAGAGGCAACAGCAGGTGGATGCATAAAAAGTGCTGGGTAAATAACTCTAAAAGGTTTAGAAAAAAAATACCAGCTTCTTTCTTTTCTGAGCACAATTTATGAACTGCTTTCTCTTGGGTGTTATATCCACCTAGTAGCGCATACAATAAAAGTCTGAAAACCCAAATGCCAAAATAGAGAGCTTCCTATCTATTTTTATTTACACACTTGCTCAGTTGTGTATGTTATAGATTATCTAATCAGGATAAACAGAGGAAATCTAACACAGTGTTCTATCCATAGACCTAAAATATATCTTCTACTTACCATTTGTTTATTTAGGGGGTGTATATATGCGCTATTCATCTAGAATAACCTCCAAGAGCTACTATAATAAAATAGTTATGCTATTGTTTATATGATGTAATAGCATCATATAAAAAAACACATAGAGCTATCAAACAGGTAAATATTATATATATACATTTAAAGGTCCCAAAGATTTGGGAATCTCAAAAAGCCTTAAATTGGTACTGGAAAGAGCATTTCAGATTCAGGACAACACATTGAAAAAGTCCTAATGTGAGTGACAATACACATCTGAACTCTGAGGGACAAGAACATAAAGAAAAGGGCTCTGAAGCAGATCTCTGTAGTAAAGTAAGTTCATGTGGGACCTGCTGATTCTTAATTTTAGATTTTATTTACAAAACAGCCCTTAAGTATTCTGAGTATTTGTTTAAAATGGAACTGCTATTTTCTTTTTGTTGTTTAAAAGAGAGGGAATCCTAAAAGAATTCTTGCACAAGAGACATATATATTTCTATTTTCATGTGTTTATATTATACATCTGAATGGCACCCCCCAAGCAAACAAACAAACCAAAACCTCAAAACTATTTTGGAAGAAGCACTGTCCAAATAGCAATGCTATTTCCTTACCATAGTTCAAAGCTTCTGGAGCAGTCCATTTGATAGGAATTTGCTTTAATCCTGAAGAGGAATATACTCCATCATCTTCTTGACGAGACATTCCAAAGTCACTAATTTTCAGAACATTGTTCTCCCCTACTAAACAGTTCCTTGCAGCAAGGTCCCTGTGTTGGGAAAAATATGGCCTTTAAATCAATACAGTCAGATTGTATTTCAATATACAAAAACTGAATCAGCTTAGGCAGGAGTAATTTCACAGCTTTTCCACTTTAGGAGAAACTTGGAGATACAATCTATATAATGGTTCCTGTAAAATACCTCATAGTAAAATATTAACAGAAGTACATGAAAAACAACAGTTTTGTGAGAGTGCTGCCCTTGAGGCTTGTTATTTCCAGTACAGTGCAGCTTATCAAATCATATTTGATGTGAAAGGATAGCATAGCCTGAAGAAACAGGATAGCATCCAGACTTCGTCTTTCTTATGAAAGATCCACTGGAATCAAAGAGATGTGAATCAGTTTTGACCCATTTGTCCCCTTGATTTTAGTGGGACTACCCTAAAGTTTACTATGATTTGATGCAACCTATTGTGGTAGTCCCATAACTGCGGACACAGAAAACATGGAACAGGATTTATATCTATATTTTCTCCCACATTCATTCCTAATTACATCCATTCTCTAGAGCAGTGGTTCTCAACCTGTGGGTCCCCTGATGTTTTGGCCTTCAACTTCCAGAAATCCTAACAGCTGGTAAACTGGTTGGGAGTTGTAGGCCAAAACACCAGCCGACCCACAAGTTGAGAACCACTGCTCTACAGCCTGTCTTTATTTCTGTTTCTGGTAAAAAGCTGCATTCTTAGTTCTTAGTGATCATAACAGAATGAAAATCTTTTTAAAACTTATCTCACGTTCGCCAATAGTACTAAAACATGCCTCAAATAATATTCTATCAAAATTAGTTTGATTTATAAGCAACCTTTCCCCTTCATGTGTCTCAGTGCAATATACCAGCTTTTAATTTAGCTGTATTTTGCAATTCAGAGACAAAGAAACCTCAGTTACCTATGGTTTATTTCATGGTCAAGTGGAGATTTACAAAACCTAGCCTACAGCACTAATTGCTATATTACTAAAATTACTGGGCTAACTGAAAGACAGAAAAAGTGAAAAACAAATGTATCATGGATTGGCTTTTTGATTCACTGTTATAGGTATTAAATGAACGGGGTCAAAAAGAAATGCAATGACAAAAACTAATTTTCTTCATTTTTTTAAGTTTGTAGGGAAAATAGAAATGTTAAGTGGCTGAAATCTGGAGTCATCCTTCACAAATTGTGCTGGTGACAATGTCATAAGATGCCTTTATTGTAGATTCAAGTTTATGTGGCTTCTGCAAAAAAAAAAAAAAAAAAAAAAGAGAGAGAGAGAGAGAGAGAGAGAGAGAGAGAGAGAGATAAGGGGGGGGGCACTTATGGGAGTTAAAATAGTCTACCTAGTATCCACAACAAATTTTTCAAGTCCAATTTTCACAGGGACAGAACATGAGATGAAATCTTCTGAACAGGGGCATAGACAGCAAACAAACATCACAGAGGTCTTAACCTTTCCCTCTGTTATCCAAAACGTGAAATAAAATGGCTGGAGCTACAATTAAAAACGTACCTATTCCAGCTCACAAATTCAACTTAGCAAACCTACAGAGCCTATCTTATTTGTAACTTGGGGACTGCCTGGGGTTACTTATAACAAGTTGTTTCCAGGCTCTCACTCAGGGTCACAGTAAACAAAACCACTTTTGACACCATACTTTTGCATACTTAAGTCCTTATCACTTCACAGCAGTTCTCACTGATTTAAATATATTGAGGACTGTGCTGGTAAAAAGCAAAACTCACAATAATATAAAAATCTGAAAACAAAGCAGAAATACTCAGTGAAAGCTATTCAGCAAGAAAGAGTCTTTTCAACTCAAAACATTCTTAAAACCATTATAAAACAGCTTATATTCCCATTTGTTTATGAGCACAGCTGTCCAAAGAAAAATAATGTTAAACTATTTGAACAGAAGCATTTATCGTAGAGAATTACAGTTACAACATTAGCAGTCATTCCTGAGAAAAGGATTTATAAAGAATTTGCCTTTTGCTTTCAGCATCAACAGATAATTTGCTAACAGACAGGTTGCTATGCATAAGTAATGAATTGTGTCTTTGAGGATTAGTCTGATTTCCTTAAGGATTATTAAGATTATAAATTATACAGGCTTTTAAATGGAATGTTATTTATATGTAAGCTTGGTACAAGCCATGGACCTAATTCTGTGTTTCTTTCTTGGGCAAAAAACTGAAGTCACTCCATTGAAAGGCCTGCACAATAATCTTGGATCAAGAAAGGTACTAAATTAACACTATGTCCAAATATGCACCATTTAAATAAATGAACTATTGAACACTAGATATTTATCTCATTGCTGTTAGATTGTCATACTGCAGTTCCTGTGGGTAAGTATACTGCCTACTTGGACTTCCTGGCAATTCAACAGCTAGAAAAAAAGCATACAGAGGAAAGTGAAAATTGCAGTGTCTGCCACTATGCAAAGTCAGTACACATACGATCAGGCAAAGGGATTGTAATGGGCATCCATATCTCACCTCAAAACCCAATACCCTGATTCAGACCAATAAAGGAGGCAAAATGTTACATCAGTGGCACCAATCCACGTGGGCAGCATGCTTGGCAGAATCAGTGTTATTCTGGCTGCAACATGGGCTGTGGCTTTGTCTAGTTTTGGAAGCCCCAGGAAACATGCAAGCCTATATCCTCATCATCACTAAGTGCTTGGGTGTGTTGGCCAGAATGGAACATGTAAGAAGGAAGTTCTATTAACAACCTGAGCTTTGAGATTGCTTTAAAAAAAACTCTGCAAAAGCAGATCTGGGAGGGGATCATTTGCAGGTGAAAAGCTGTGGATGGGAGTAAAAGTATATATCAACTTCCAGCATTGTCATCCTCCCTCGCTAACAACCTTGACCGTCTACCAAACCCAGTCATGTTCACATTTACCAAAGTTTTAAGGATATATACAGGAGGGGGAAGAAAGGCAAATCAAGGGAGAGGAAAGAAGGAAGGACAGAAGGACCAACAACAGAGGCTTAACATCTTTCCTGGTCATACTCCAGCAGTAGTAGAACATCATACTCCCATGCTGCTTTTTCAAAACTTTAAAACCTCAAGACTTGACAGCCCTTGGTTTCTTTGAAGCTTGCCTCCCTTACAGATCTGAAATGGGGCACCGGATTTTGAGGTGAGATGTGGATGCACAGGGGAGGAAAAGGCATTCCAACTGCTGGGTGCAAAGAGTTGTATGGCAAGTGCAAATCTTCACATGTGCAAACAAACTTCCATGGATCTGGGGGGGATCCTCAGTGCTTCTCTTCACTATGTGCTTTCACAGAAGTTCTAAATCTCTAAGGTTGCATCATGTTTGCAATAAGAGCCATTCAGCTATGTTAAAAGGATTATTATTATTATTATTATTATTATTATTACTTTTATTTTTATCCTGTCTGTTTTCCAGATCACAACTCAAAGTAGCTTACAACAATTAAAAAAAAGATAGTGTTAACCTTGAAGCTTGGAACTTGCACATTCCTTCAATGCAGACTTCTGACCGGAGATCATTTGTACTATTAAATTTGTATCATATGTTTCTTCTACCATGGAAACAATATCAATGTGTATACAGGGTTTCATCCTGCCCCATTGAAAACACTGCTTTGCCCTACTAGGGATAGGGGAGGAGGAAAATACTTAAAATTTTATTATAATGAGAAGGCTTATCTTAGGACAAGAATAACTCTATTTTCTATCACTTGCAAAGCACTGATTATGCTCAAAACACCCATATGGTCTGCACTACTTTATTCATTTAAGACTTCCCCTGGTTCAAAACATGTTTTTCTTGATCAAAAGCATGTTTACCTAAATAATTCTGAAAAATAGGGGGAAATTAATAATGGCCTGTTGGCCAACACAATAGCAAATACATCAGTGTGTGTGTGGTGGGGGGAGGATGAGCTTGAAACATGAGCTTGAAAAATATATGTCCTTATCAATCTTTTTAGGAATCTATTTGGGGTTTTCAAGGAGCATCTCCGCGTGTTGCAACACTTGTACTCTTATTCTAATTGCCTCCTGAATGCGCAGCAGCATGAAGGCTTTTCTGGGCTGCCGAGCAGAAAAATCTACCCAAAAATGAATGCTTTGAAAAGTTCTCTCTCTGTTGAGTGCCTTGCAACCAATTAAAATGATTTCCGCTGTTTGTCAGGAAGGAAATCTAATGGGAAGTTTGGAAAAAGATTAGAAGGTTCTTCAACATGGAGTCAAGATACATCATTATTCCAGAAGCAATTAGGAGCTGTGGACAGCATGGAAAATTCTGTTTTCCAGCTGAAACCTAAAACTGAAACAGCAGGGCATGTGTCAAACAAAGTAGTTCATGATCATGAATGACAATGAATCAGACCAAAGGATAAGCACACAATTGAGGTAGGATATTAATAATTTGCAGGGCAAGGTTCTGAGATTTTTCTGTAGAGAAGTAAACACATTAAGCATACCATACCATACAATGAGGAATCATTTTTTTACCAGAATGGATTTGAGAAATATGAATGATTAGTGCTCTTCATTATATGCAGGTTTCTCTCCCTCACTGACAGTTTACATTTGCCGATGTTACCACTGTCTTGACGTTGATGCAAACATGACTCCTGGAACTAATTTATATTCATAGAAACAAGTATGTTAGTCTGTTTTGGTCTAGAATGGAAGAAATGAGTTTTGCAGCAACTTTAAAACTAAATTACTTCAGCATGGCCTTGTGCGAACGCCTGTTTGCTGCTTATTTATGCTTATCTCTGCATCGTCCATCTTTCTCCTTTTAATTAAGACGCTATTTGTCAGATCCCCACTTTTACATAAGCCTGTCTGTTGAAGCTTCACCTGTACCTCTGAAGAAATTGGAATGTGTGAAATTGATGATGAAATAAATTAGTCTTAAATGTGACACAATACCTCTTTCTTCTTATGGTAACTAATAATAAGCATGCATACAAGTATTACTTGCGAAACAGGCAAAACCTCATGGTTGTTTAAAA